TATCTATCTATCTATCTATCTATCTGTCTGTCTGTCTGTCTGTCTGTCTATCTATCTATCGTTCTGTCATTTTATCTATCTATCTATCTATCTATCTATCTATCATTCTGTCCTATCTATCTATCTGTCTGTCTGTCTGTCTGTCTGTCTATCAATCATTCTGTCCTATCTATCTATCTATTTATCTATCTATCTATCTGTCTGTCTGTCAATCATTCTGTCCTATCTATCTATCTATCTATCTATATATATATCTATCTATCTATCATTCTGTCCTATCTATCTATCTATCTATCTATCATCTATCTATCTATCTATCTATCTATCTATCCCTTAATGCTCTATAGATATAGAAGTACGTAAGGTCAATACAAACTTAAAGACTTTTTAATTCTGCTTTAGGCTATATTGAACAAACTTTACTATACTTGACAAACTTTGATTTTCTAGTTATTGAATGGTTTGTTAGTGTTTGGTTAAGCTTTTTTAGGCATTCTGATTCTAGCATACCAGTCAAGTAAAGCGTTGAACTCACTAATAGAAAATCATATACATACATCTTTAGATTGAGAGCAGCACTTAGTAAAGTTCAAATGAGCAGCCCAGCCCCCTTCACTACTTCTTACAGGCCAGGCGGTTTCTATGAGCGTGGTCTTGCAGTAGATCTGGGCTTGAGGCCAGTGGCTGCTTTTCCCTTTGGAGAATTTGATCCGCAGGCAGGGAGCAATCCTCTGCTGCTCGGCGCTATTTAAGGCCAGCATGCTTTTGTGTCTTGTCATCGTTGTGCACAAATGGCAAAACTGAACATGCTTCCAAAGAGCTACAAAAGGGATGCTGGTGGACAGGCTGGGCAGCGGTTATAAAGAGCGGTTTTCACTCTTCAATGAAGTAGCACGAATGAAAGGAAGGTCTCTGTTTCAGTGAAAAACATAGGGGGCTGCTCTCAAATATCACAGACCGTTTTAAAATACAATGTGTAGATTGTTACAAATCTAATCCCTAAAACCCCCTCACATAAAAGCTCTGCAGGGAAGGAAAGTACTGGCCTTCATCTGTGCTGTTTATTATAGTTTAGTTATGAACACACTGCAGTCTCCTCTAGGAAATTTCTAGTAGTGGTTATGAAACTAGATCTCAGTGCATGTAGGCACATTGTGGGGGTGAAGACCTGGATATCATATGATATTCATCTAAGATGGGGTTAACAAGGGCAAATGACAGTATCTAGAGAGCAGGGTGACTGATGGCTATGTAATGCAAATATACATAATACAGTTCATTGATAGCAAATGAGATGTACACAAAATTACTAATAATAAATGAATAATGAAAAGAATATAAAAATTATTAAATTAATTATATTCTAAATGCATCATATATTTTTTTAAATATTGTTTACTTATGTTTATTATTACTTTGGAACTGACACACAAGTTATTGACCTTTAATTGGCCTGGTTGATATATTAATCTGTCATCAGAAAATGATTTTGGTTGATTATAAACTCACACAAACATCTTTTAACTACACACCACTGTTCAAAAGTTTGTGGTCGTTAAGATTTGTTAAAAGTTTTTGAAAGAAGTCTCTTATTCTCACCAAGGCTGCATTTATTTGATCAAAAAATACAGGAAAACAGTAATAGTGTGAAATTACTGATATTATTATATCAGTATAATAATTATATTATTACAAAATATTATTACAATTTAAAAGAACTGTTTTCTGTTTTAATATATTTACTCCAGTCATCATTACTCCAGTCTTCAGTGTCACATGATCCTTCAGAAATCATTCTAATGCTGATTTGGTGCTCAAGAAACATTTCTTATTTAAAAATAAATAAAAAAGACCCATTATTATATGTTGGCAAGGATGCCTAATCATGCATTAATACAGACAAACAATAGAGCAATCTCTACTCAAAAGACACCATGCAGACAGCAAGAAAAATACATGTTTATTTACTTGCAATCTTAAAAGTTGCATCTACTTTGGGCTCACATAGCCAACTTATTAGTCAGAGCTTTTATGTCCACCACTGCACGAAACAAAGTGCCTTTCATGTAAGCCCTGAATCTCTGTGTCTGGACAAGTGTGCTGAAAATAAACAAATGACCTCTCCTTGCTCTCCAGTAGGTTCTGTGCAGTGAAAGGGTGTGTGCACTGCGCTCAGAGTATTGATAGCTTACTGCTGCAAAGCATGTGAGAATGTGCGACATGTTGTTAAAAACATTTCACGAATACGGTCAACAAGCTTAGCTGTTCCTTTTCATTTAAACTGAAAATCTGTGAGTTTAAAGGAATAGTTAAGCCAAAAAGGAAAATTTGCTGAAAATGGACTCACCTTCAGGCCAGATGTAGATGAGTTTGTTTCTTCATCGGAACAGATTCAGCAGTACATCACTTGCTCACCAGTGGATCCTCTGCAGTGAATGGGTGCCGTCAGAATGAGAGTACAAACAGCTGATAAATCACAAGTAATCCACACAACTCCAGGCCATCACTTAATGTCTTGAGAAGCAAAAATCTGCATGTTTGTAAAACAAACAAAAAAAACAAATCCATCATTAAGATGTTAAAATACGAGTCCAGATTCAGGAGAGAAATATGCACAGAAATAAACACCATTTACAAGTGAAAACAGTCCAAAACAGTTTTAAACAAATATGGTGGTGGATTTTGATGTGAAAGGACAACAGGGGACGGACTTTTTCACTAGAGGAAGGGTTATTATTATGTTCTATGGACTGGCATTTTAGCCAGAAGCAGCAGTTATTTCATCTTCACAGATATTTCATTGCCATTTCAGTTAACTGAACTTTTTGTTCGGTTATTTTTGCTGTGGTTTGTTGTGTCTATTGCAGTGCAACATGACCTGATGAGGGCATATCAATGTGGCATTGCATATCACAGGGTCACAAGATTTCACTTGAGGACAAAGTTACTCAATATGTTATTATGATGCTCACGTCTGTGATGTTGATGCCTGTATATCATTTCTCAACATGTTTTGATGTCCTGAGCCGGTGCAATTAATACAAGGTTATATGATTTTATATGCTCTTTAACTTTATAATGACAAGCATTTGGTATACAGAAATCACTGTGTACCGTTTTATGATGGTGGGTTTTCCGAAGGCCCAAAATTGACACTTGACCAGTGGCTGATCATTACCTAAAGTCTATTAGTATGCACAAACTATAACACGGGCCAAAGCGGTGAGCTGCAGTGTGGCACGGCAGAAATGATTATTCTCTTATCTGGATTCTTGCCGTAAAAATAATTATCCAGCAGTGCTGGATTCTTTCAAACTCATCTGACTTGAACTAATTAATTAGTGGGGTGTTTCCGTAAGAACAGCATCACACTCCACCAGCAGGTGAAGATCAGCAGTTGATCTCTCCGTGACTAAAGTGAGTTTGTCACCCTCTAGTGGTGAGTAATCACATTAACACAATCATATAAACACATCGGTGACAATTGTTGCAGTGACCCCTATTCTGTACAGACTTTGTTATATAAGACTGTAATGAAGTTACAAATATAATAATATTAATAATAATAATGTATTTTATTTATTTATATAGG